GGGTGATGTCAGCCTTGTGATTCAATTCTGCTCTTTCTTAGCAGATTCAATTTGGCTCCTTCTTTGCAGATTCAATTTTGTTTTTTCTTCACAGAAGAGCTACACATATTCACCTACAAACTTCCTCTTCACCGAGAACATCCTGCTTGGGGAAAATGGACTGAAATCGAAGGAAAAAAAACCTAAATGAAATCAAAAAGAGAGAGCCGGGCTGAAGGTTTTCTCTCCTTACCGATCTCTGTTGCAAAACCAAACTTTCATTTCAGGTCTTTAACAAAACTGATAAAAAAGAGGAGGGAAGGGAATACATTTTCACAGCCCAGATGGCTCCACTAAATCATTTATAACACCCAATCGACATCCTGTATCTTTTTTTTTTCCTTCTTTTTCGCCAATTCCAGCTGGCAACGTGCCTCACTGGAGGATTGCCAGTCGAATCCGGATGGAACAGGGGCTTCCCTTCCCTTCTCTTCCCCCCAGGAGCTAATATTCATGAACCTGGGGCCTATTGTCTTGCTATCCTTATGTTCTGCTCATTGTCTACTACAGCTTCCTGTGGACAATTTTTAAAAATATATAATCCCATCACAGCTTTTGCAATCCATTCAAGTTCCAACAAGAGCCAAGAATGTCTCTGGATGACATTATTTCACTACTGGTCCAATAAAGGTCCAATAAAACTACACTCTACCCTTCATACTGTATGCCAGTGGTTCTCAACCTGTGGTCCACAGACTCCTGGTGGCTGTCATGTCTTTTCTCCCCCTCTCCTACCTGTGGATATCCATGGTTGTTGACTCGAGGGACATCAAAATCCTCCATTACAGGATCTGGGAAATTCACCACCGTCAAGGGAACGGCCGGAGCATCAGGCAACCGATCCTGCATTTCTCTTCTTTAGAAAGAATGAAAAAGGACAGAAGAGTGAAGCATGATCAACAGCTTGATATCATTTGATGGTTGGCGAGAAGATTCTAATCACAGTCTAATCCCAGACCTGCAGAACCTCTTCTTCTCAAAAGGAAGTCCTGTACTACTCCACAGGGTTTACGTCAAGTAAGTATGCCACGCAATGTAGGCTGCTCAGAAGTAAATTCCACCAAGCTAAAAAAAAAAAAAATCCAGACAAGTCCTGGTGCAAGATACATTCGTGGCCTTACACAATTTTTGACCTTTCTGGCTCAATCTCTGGGCAGAAAAATTAGAAGGAGATTGTTATATCACATGGCTTAGAAAACCAGACAAGCTTAAAGTGAACTGCCTGTCAACCGTCCGGCTGGTGAATTCAACATTAAAGAAACTCTACAGTCTTGAAGTGCCATAAGAGATCATTTTTATTGAATACACATCCCGGCACCAAAGAAGCAAAATCAACTCTAGTTTTCCCACACGAAATTCTGGTTAGTTAACAGTGGCTTTTCATAAACCCCACCCACCAAGTGTTCATGTTGCCCAATCACATCTTTTCTGTTTGTTATGGGAACGGTCCACTTCTCCGTCAGACACCTGCTTTTGACGGCCTTGGGTCTCATGGTCCGGGGACGGCTTCTTGAAACTCCCATTTCTTTCCCAGGCTTTCCCCCCCCCCCCATTTCTATGGCAAGTTGAGTAGCGACAGAGGTTAGCAAGCATCTTAGACATACAACCTTGACATTGCAATTGTCCCCATTCACCACAGTAGCAAGATAAGATAAGATGAGATGAGATGAGATAAGAAGATAAGATAAGATAAGATAAGATAAGATAAGATAAGATAAGATGATAAGATAAGATAAGATAAGATAAGATAAGATAAGATAAGATAAGATAAGATAAGATAAGATAAGATAGGATAGGATAGGATAGGATAGGATAGGACAGGACAGGACAGGACAGGACAGGACAGGATAGGATAAGATAAGATAAGATAAGATAAGATAAGATAAGATAACCTTTATTGTCATTTTTTTACTGTGGGCACAACGGCACACATCAAAAATGAAATTTAGTTGCCCGCTCTCAAGTGAAACACATACATGACACACACCTAAACATACTATGAACAACATATGTATAGACCCGCCTCCCTACATATACGTACGTAGAAAATAAATATTAAATACTGTCCATCTTGAATATATAACGGAAGGAGGAAGCTTGAGAGTTCACAAGGTTAATGCTGTATGGAATGAAACTATGGCTGAATCTGGATGTTCTGCTACGGATACCATGGAGCCCCCTCCTCTCAGAAGGTAACAAGGAAAACAGGTTGGGAAGAGGATGTGTCATGTCCCAGATAATCTTACGGACCCTGCTCAAGCAACACTTCTGTGCTATGTCCTGGATGGGAGGGAGGGAACTGCCAATGATCTTTTCGGCCATTCTCACCACCTTCCTGTCTGAAGCAGTGATGCCTCCAAACCAGACTGTGATGCTGTATGACAGGACAGTTTTCTTAGAAAACCTCGCTGTCGCATTTCTGGATTTTCAGGAAGTTTGCACACAATCCCCATGAGGTTTGCCACCTCACACATGCGCATACATGCACAGATCCTTATTCAGGATCTATTACTCACACGTAAGCTCCAATGTTGTTCACTATTCTAGCAACGGCTTTGACTTTGCCACCAGGCTGGGCAAGAGACTCATTGATCCCCTTGAGGAAAACCTAAAATTGGAAGGAAAAAAATGAAAAGATCACTAACAGATTCCTGAAGCCCTCTGGGAAGGAATATTCCCTGAATTCCTTCCTTGTAGAATTGTGTCAATTACTTGAATTACTGGATTATTATTTTTTTTTATCATCCATGGACATCCTTCTTTAGAACCTCTTTGAAGTTCAGTTTCTTTTGAAGACCATCAAGTTCTAAATGGCTGTGATTTGAGGCATCTTTAAGTGGTCAAGAAATGGTTGTTTGTAAAATAAACAACCATTTCTCGACCAGTTAAGGATGCTTCATATCACACACATTTTGACACCAAGAGAAGCAATGGTCATATTTTTCATCTTAAAAAAAATAAAATAAAGATCCCATGTCTAGCCCCACCTGATTTATTCATGAAGCTCTCTGTGACCCATCACCCCAATGGCTCAGATTGAATAACCTTTCCTTGTTTTGGCCCTCACCTCCAGCCCTGTGTAGTTCACTCCAGCATAGCGTGGGATGAGGCTGCGTTTACGAATGATGGATGCATATAACTTGGTTCCTGTTTGGTCCTTCTTCCGAGGCTGTTCGAAACCAGAATGAAAACAGATCAGAAGGTGCAAACAAGACAATAAACCAAGCCATAGGAGGCTTAGGGATTGTTCTTGAGATGGCTCTAAGGAACTGTAATTGATAAGTAAATCAGGAGCTGTTCATTATAGTGCATGCTACCCTGGAGATTAGTTCAATGCCATAAATTGCTCTGATTGGCATAAAAGTAAATACAGTAATGCTTCCATTCCTGGAGAAACAATAAAACAACTAAACTAACATCAAAGATTTGGCTGTTGGGAAGGTCAATGGCCCGTAGATTCGACAATACAAAAGGGGAGAGCTTATGTGTCACGAGGCACTTTTTGTTGTTTTCTCATCATTGTGGTTAGTTCCAAATACCTATACAATCGAAAAAAATGTTTCATGTTTGGTCTGTGGTAATATTTTGGTATCTGTGGATATCTAAGTCGTGTTTCTCAATTTTGGCAGCCTGAAGAGGTGTAAACCTCAACTCCCACAACTCCTCAGCCAGCAAGGCTGGCTGGGGACTTCTGGGAGTTGAAGTCCACACTTCTTCAAGTTGCCAAGGTTGAGAAACTCTGATTTAGAAGAACTGTAATTCTCTCTCTGTGGAGATTTCCAAGGTAAGGTCGGGCAGATGTCTTTAGATCGGGGTAGTCAACCTTGGTTCTTTTATGACTCGTGGACTTCAACTCCCAGAATTCCTGAGCCAGCTTAGCTGGCTCAGGAATTCTGGGAATTGAAGTCCACGAGTCATAAAAGAGCCAAGGTTGATTACCCCTGCTTTAGATGATCAAGCTTGGATTTCTTAGATGAAACAGAAGACTTCCATGGCTTATAAACCCCCTCCAGTTCTATAATTTTATTTCACATTTTGTTCTCTCCCTCTCAAAGTTCTGAACCACTTTATTATCATAACTTATCAAGAACTGTGCCACGGCACAAAGAAGCGTGAAATTGAATGGAAGGCATTACTCATTGTTTTGAAGTATGCAGATCGACTAGTTTCCTATATAAAACTTCAGGAAGAGTGAATTCTTTACATATTTCTACACTGAACTGGATTGTGGCTTAGAATCTGCAAACAAGGGACCACAAGGCAGAAACCTTTCAATTGCCCTGTTTTTAATTATCGGTAAAGCACTCATCTTTAAAAGCTTTAAAAGGTTAGAATCACAAGCAATTCAGCCCTATAGAAATACTGGGAGGCCGACGCTGAGATGAGCAGAGCCTACAAATGGATTCCTGAGCCATCACCAGACAGCTAATCATTATCGTGTCATCAATACAAGCACTTTCTTTTAAAAAAAAAATCAGTCTTTGTGCAAAATGGGGAGGTGGGCTGGCAAAGTAAAGTGTAAAGGTTGGATTTTTTTTAAGATGTCAGAAAGAAGAATTTGCAGTCACATTCTGCATAGCACAATGGCTTCAAGGAACAACACAAATGTTTGCATTTAAGGCATTTTAGCTTTCCAGGATGAATGGAAATACATAGGTATCCATTCTCAGATGATCAAAGGGATGGAATGGGTTTTTTCTTTTCTTTATCTGTTCTATAGTTTCGGCTTGGAACAAAAAGGTTTCTCCAGCCTCCAGCCAAATCTGGGGTAATTACTCCTGAAACATTCCTGAAATCCAAACTGGACCTCATTGAGATATTCTCTGAGTTCTTCCTCTCTCCTTTAAATTTCCTTTTTTTTTTCTTTTCTCTTTTTCTTTTCATTCTTTTTTTTGTACTTCTTCAATCTCAGAACACACTCAATTGTTCGTCTCATTTCTCACACGCCACTTGAGTTTGCTACTGTAGAAAGAGCGGTATTTGATGATAGGAAAACAGGATATGTATTTTGCATAAATGGAGGTTAGATAGAACCGTAGAACTATAAAATAATGGACCAATAGAATGCTAGGAAAATGAGTAGACAAATACAGATAGAACAAAAAATAATAAAATAGGTAGAATGATTGATTGATTGATTGATTGATTGATTGATTGATTGATACAGATGTGGGCAGAGAGAAGAAACAAACAAGAAAGAAAGATAGAGATAGAGATAGAGAGAAAGAGAGAGAGAGAGAGAGAGAGAGAGAGAGAGAGAGAGAGAGAGAAGATAGATACATATATACATAGATACATATATACAGGTGAAACTCAAAAAATTAGAATATCGTGCAAACGTTCATTTATTTCAGTAATGCAACTTAAAAGGTGAACCTAATATATGAGATAGACTCATTACATGCAAAGCAAGATAGTTCAAGCCGTGATGTGTCATAATTGAGATGATTATGGCTTACAGCTCATGAAAACCCCAAATCCACAATCTCAGAAAATTAGAATATTGTGAAAAGGTTCAATATTCTAGGCTCAAAGTGTCCCACTCTAATCAGCTAATTANTTGACACCCTCCATAAGGAGGGAAAGCCTCAAAAGGTAATTGCAAAAGAAGTTGGATGTTCCCAAAGTGCTGTATCAAAGCACATTAATAGAAAGTTATGTGGAAGGGAAAAGTGTGGAAGAAAAAGGTGCACAAGCAGCAGGGATGACTGCAGCCTGGAGAGGATTGTCAGGAAAAGGCCATTCAAAAGTGTTGGGGACTTTCACAAGGAGTGGACTGAGGCTGGAGTCAGTGCATCAAGAGCCACCACACACAGACGGATCCTGGACATGGGCTTCAAATATCGTATTCCTCTTGTCAAGCTGCTCCTGAACAACAAACAACGTCAGAAGCGTCTTACCTGGGCTAAAGAAAAGCAGAACTGGTCTGTTGCTCAGTGGTCCAAAGTCCTCTTTTCTGATGAGAGCAACTTTTGCATCTCATTTGGAAACCAAGGACCCAGAGTCTGGAGGAAGAATGGAGAGGCACACACTGCAAGATGCTTGAAGCCCAGTGTGAAGTTTCCACAGTCTGTGTTGATTTGGGGAGCCATGTCATCTGCTGGTGTTGGTCCACTGTGCTTCATTAAGTCCAGGGTCAACGCAGCTGTCTACCAGGAGATTTTGGAGCACTTCATGCTTCCTTCCGCAGACGAGCTTTATGGGGATGCTGACTTCATTTTCCAGCAGGACTTGGCACCTGCCCACACTGCCAAAAGCACCAAAACCTGGTTCAATGACCGTGGGATTACTGTGCTTGATTGGCCAGCAAACGCGCCTGACCTGAACCCCATAGAGAATCTATGGGGCATTGCCAAGAGAAAGATGAGAGACATGAGACCGAACAATGCAGAAGAGCTGAAGGCCGCTATTGAAGCATCCTGGTCTTCCATAACACCTCAGCAGTGCCACAGGCTGATAGCTTCCATGCCGCGCCGCATTGAGGCAGTAATTGCTGCAAAAGGGGCCCAAACCAAGTACTGAGTACATATGCATGCTTATACTTTTCCGAGGTCCGATATTGTTCTATGCACAATCCTTGTTTTATTGATTGCATGTAATATTCTAATTTCCTGAGATTGTGGATTTGGGGTTTTCATGAGCTGTAAGCCATAATCATCACAATTATGACACATCACGGCTTGAACTATCTTGCTTTGCATGTAATGAGTCTATCTCATATATTAGGCTCACCTTTTAAGTTGCATTACTGAAATAAATGAACTTTTGCACGATATTCTGACTTTTCGAGTTTCACCTGTACACACACACACACACATATATATATATATATATACACACATACATACATACATACATACATACATACATACATACACATACAGAGAGAGATAAACAGACAGATTATGGATGGAGAAAGATGGATGGAGATAGATGGTTAGAAGATAGAGAGAGATGCTCATGGGTGGATAAGGGAGATTATGGATGGAGAGGGATGGATGGATGGATGGACAGACAGATGGTGACAGACAGACTGACAGATAGATAATAGATGGAGATGGATGGATAACAGAAAAACAGAATAAAGTTGGAAGGGACCTCGGAGATCTTCTAGTCGAACCCCCTGCTCAAGCAGGAGACCCTATACAATTTCAGACAAATGGTTGTCCAGTCTCTTTTTAAAAACCTCCAGTGATGGAGCATCCACAACTTCTGGAGGCAGATCATTCCACTGGTTAATTGTTCTAGCAGTCAGGAAATTCTTCCTTAGTTTTAGGTTGCTTCTGTCCTTCATCCTGGATGGATGCATGGATGCATGGACGGACAGACAGACAGACAGACAGATGTCTCAGTAGTCCCTACTCCTTCTCTCCCATTCCTGTTTTCCCACTGCTATTTTTGTATTTTTCCACTTTGGGCCTCTCATGCCTTCTGCCCATTTTCACACACTCTCCACCCCCAGCAGCGCCCCCAGCCCACCCCTTCCCTTTCACTGCTCATGCGGAAAAGCAAACATGTCAGGTTGCTGTTTTAGCTGCCTTTGAATGTCAAGTTGTTCCTTTTAATGCCTTTGATGCCACAAAGGTTAGAAAGGAGAATTTTGTCTCTCCCATTTGCTTGGCTGAGCAACAAAACTCCCCTCCAAGTAAACAAAGAATGTGCCTTCTTTTGCAAAAATTGGGCAAAGGGCGAGGAGGGGACAGGAGAAGCAGACCCCTTAAACCCATGGATTTTCAACAGCTTGACCAGCAACAAGATGTCTCCACACCTCCCCGTAGACCTCGTATTCTCTGCAAAGGCTGTGTTGTTTCTCTGTATCATATAATATATGTGGGTATATGCCTAATTCTGTATTTATTTATTTTTGTCATATTTATGTTGGTCACCACAATGTCAAAAAGATGTTGAGACTCTAGAAAGAGTGCAGAGAAGAGCAACAAAGATGATTAGGGGACTGGAGGCTAAAACATATGAAGAACGGTTGCTGGAATTGGGTATGTCCAGTTTAACGAAGAGAAGGACCAGAGGGGACATGATAGCAGGCTTCCAGTATCTCAGGGGCTGCCCCAAAGAAGAGGGAGTCAAGCTATTCTCCAAAGCGCCTGAAGGCAGGACAAGAAGCAACGGATGGAAACTCATCAAGGAGAGAAGCAACCTGGAACTAAGGAG